GTAACTATTAATGAAGAAAAGGAGCCAAACGAGAATTATTCATGTGCAATAAATATTATACCTACTAGAAAAAAAATATTCTGATTCTACTTGATAATAAAATCTAGCTGTATGGATGGTGGTAGAATATAGCTTTACCAAGAAGTGTGTAATAATCTTGCTTGCTTATAAAATTGTTCCCATATCGAATCAAAATAGATAAAGGGCAATATCGTAAGCAAATCAAGCCCACTCTACTCGTAGCCATTACAAAATAAAATAAAATAAAATAAAATAAAAAATAAAAAAACCTCAAGTGACTATCTTATAATGTCTGCTCGTGGTAATAACCAATCTTGACAGTAAATTTAGTGCAAGTTAAAATAATTCACAGTGGCAATACCGTAAATTGGTGGTTGAAAAAATTTAAATTTAAATAAAACTGAACCAACGCCCTTGAAAGTAGCACCCCACTCTCCTCCACGGGAAGTGAGAAAGGACAGAATGGAACAATCTATAGTATGGTTTCGGGTGTACGAGGAGTCCGCGAAACGCCTATATATGCTGCGGCCACGAGCTCTCATTATACACACAAAAAACACCCGCCTCCGAGTGAACAAGAGCGAGAAAAATGGGAGGGTGGGCTATAGCGGTGCATGGAGGCGCTGGTGTCGACCCAAATCTCCCACAAGAGAGACAAGAGGAGGCCAAAAAACTCCTCGCTCGCTGCCTTGATCTTGGCATCTCTGCTCTTCGCTCTAATCTCCCCGCTATCGATGTTGTCGAACTTGTTGTACGTTATCCCTCCCTCTCCATTATTAATTTCTTACAAGCAAGTTTTGTTTTTGTTTTCAACTGTCGTGAACAAGAAAAAAAAACTGCACATCATCAATCCCAGATCTTTCTTGGTATATAAACATGCACGGAATTGATGTAAACAAATGTTTATGCTTTGCACTCGAATTGATACCATTTTTATTCTACATTCGTCTTTGTGGTGTTTCTTCTGTGGCATGTGTTCACGGACCAACCTCGTCCTGTTTCTTGATTGGACAGTTATTATGGGGCAAATTAGCATAAAAAAACTAACAAATTAAAAAAACAACAAAAAGTTTCAGCAAAATCACAAACTTTTGGATGATGTGGTTCTAATTGGTGATATTTAATTAAATTTTATGTTTTCAAATTACAATATCAATTAGATTTAAAATTAATTGATTGTCGTATTGTAATTATCAATCAACTCAGCTGGCTGATTTACTTAGCTGATTTACTTATGTAAGCAAAAGCAATAACAAACAAAAAATACTGGTTTACTGATGTAAGCAAAAGCTAAAAACAAAAAATACTGGTTTACTCATGTAAGCAAAAACTAAAGCTAAAAGTAACAGCAAACAAAAACCACTAGATTTTTTTTAGCAAAAAAGGCCACAAATATAAATTTTAAATTCACAAATTTATTCTTTCTAAATAATAATACTAAAATATATTTTTTTATGAGGTTTATAAAGCTTTATATAAATCAAAGATCCTTAACAAGTAAACAAGGAAAAAAATCCAAATATAACAAGTAAACAATTATAAAATCTGATACAATTCATGATGTCCCATAATAATAATAAAACTACTAAAATTAGAGATTTGATGTGAGATTTTTAAAATCTAATATTTCATTTATTCATAAATACATATATTAGACTATTTATGTAACATATTTAAGGCAAATTATCATTTAAATTGTGTTAAATTTATATTTAATTGTTTAGAATTACTTATTATTACAAACCTGGTTATATCATTAATCATTTATAAAAAATAATTTTTAAAGACTTTAATTGACTACAAGGGGATAAAAATATATTTTTACATGTAAAACATATTTTAAAAACATATTTATAAAGTTATAGTTTATATATAAAATAATTAATCGATTTATAAAACTAGATAAACCAGCTTGCTAATTAAGCTAAAAGATTGGCATATTTGTATTATATCTATTTTAAAATTATTATTTTAAAATATGATGATAAAAAATGTTATTTTATAAAAAAAAATAAATGTAATAACTTATAATTTAAGTATGCTAGTTTTTTTATTAAAAAAACATAATCTTGGTGTTTTCTGGTTTCAAATGTGAAAATAAAGATTAAAGGCATGGCTGGTGAATGATTAAGAGTTGAAAGAATCCTGTTGTTTTTTTGTTACAGGTGAGAGATTTGGAAACGGATCCTCTGTTTAATTCTGGGCGTGGATCTGCTTTAACAGAGAACGGAACAGTGGAAATGGAAGCCAGCATCATGGACGGGCCAAAGAGAAGATGCGGTGCCGTATCCGGTTTAACAACAGTGAAAAACCCAATCTCTCTCGCAAGACTTGTGATGGAGAAATCTCCTCACTCCTATCTTGCCTTTTCTGGCGCTGAGGAATTTGCCAGGCAACAGGTATCCCCCCCCACCCCCCCGGGCACGCCTCCTTAACTCGCACCGTTGGAATATTATATAAGCAATTTGCTCTTTTACTACTCCAATAAAGAGTGAATAAAAAATAAAAAATAATGATTAAGGGTATATTTGCTTGCATGGTTGTTTATGTGTTTAAAGAAACCATAATAAAATAATTATTTAATAAAATTAAAAGTATAATTTATTCGCTAAGTGTTTTTTTGTATAAAATATAAGTAAAATTAAAGCAGCTCTCAGGTATATATTTTTTCTATTCTATACTATTTATTTTTTAAAATAAATATTTTTTTTTAAATAATATAATAAATTATAAATTCACTCACATTATTTATATTCACATGAATAATAATTTTTTTTAAAAAAATTAATTTAAAATGAAACTTTTTTAAAAAAAATTTAATTTAGAATGAATTAAATTTAATTACATTGTCATATAAATAATACTTTTTTTCTTGAAAAACTAGTGTAAAGTGGATTTAATTTACTTGTATTGTAATTTTAATTTTATTTTTGATAATATTTTATCTAATTTCATTGCATGCTAAGCTATAGTTTTTGTTGAATGAATTTTATATATAATAAAATTGTATATAATTTAATGAAATAATAAAAAATATTTTATATAAAGTATTATTTATTTTATGATATAATAAAAATAGTTAAATTTAAAATATTTAAATTTAAAAAAATTAATATTAATATATATATTTTTAGTTATTTTATAACCTCAATTTACAAAGTATTTTTACTAAATACATTAAATATTTTTTATTTTATTTTAATTTTAATTAAATATATATAAATATCAATTTAATCTTAATTAAAAATAATTTTTATAAAATATATATTTTTTAATCACTTATCTGGGTATATTACTTATGATTTTATAAAATATATTTTTTTAATCACTTGTCTGGGTATATTACTTATGATTGACGTTCTTTAGGGTGTTGAGACGGTGGACAATGGCTATTTCATAACGGAGGAAAACTTGGGGATGTTGAAGTTAGCAAAAGAAGCCAACTCCATCCTGGTTTGTGGTTATCCCTACGATGCTTTCCATTTGATGCGGTGGGCCCATTAATTGACTCTTTAATTTTTGTCCCGAACCAGTTTGATTACAGGATCCCAGCCGTTGGATTGGAGAGCTGTAGTGTGGGGCCCCCTGATGACAATCTCCTGGCAATGAACGGACTCCCTATCAGCCTGTATGCGCCAGAGACAGTGGGGTGTGTGGTGGTGGACAGCCAAGGGAGGTGTGCTGCAGCCACGTCAACAGGTGGGCTCATGAACAAAATGACAGGTCGTATTGGTGACTCGCCCCTGATCGGTGCTGGGACCTACGCTTGTGATCTTTGTGGGGTCTCTTGCACTGGAGAAGGAGAGGCCATCATACGTGGGACACTAGCGCGCGATGTAGCGGCGGTGATGGAGTACAAGGGATTGAGCCTGCAAGAAGCAGTGGATTTTGTTGTGAATGAGAGGCTTGATGATGGGCGAGCTGGTTTGATAGCAGTATCCAGAGACGGGGAAGTGGCGTGTCGTTTTAACACCAACGCGATGTTTCGGGGATTTGCCACTGAAGATGGTTTCACGGAAGTCGGGATCTGGGACTGAACTTTTTGCTGTGAACTTGGTGTGGCTGTATTTTGCTTTTGACAAAGGGATGCTTTTATGCCACCTAACGTCGAGTGGCCGTCAAGTCGGAGCACAATCTTATTCCATGTTACTATCAAACTTATGCTTATTAGAAATAAAACTGAACGCTCAATTAGCGTTTAAAGTCTCTGTTTAAATTCGTGATCAACTAATTCCTTTGAAGAACTTTCTTGATGAGTAGCAGTACGCGAATTGCCCGCGACAAGGAAATAATTTCTCGAGAAAAATAAGGAATTTCGTGAGAAATATGTGTGAAATTTTCAAGAAAGGTAAGACAACACGTGTCTAAAAACTGTTTTCTCTAGCTAGCTGTAACCTAGCCTAAGTGTGTGTTTTGTAGATATTTTTGTTACTCGTCACATGGAAGAAACAAAATATCACAACCAAAGTTTTTTTAATAATAAATGTTATTTGCGGCTTTTATATCACATTTAATATCTACATCACCCGAGTGGCAGAAAATATTTACAGCTCAATCAAGAAATATTTACAGAGAAAACAATTTAATCTCAATTAATATAATTATACAATGATTAATACAATATAAAATTTTATTAAAATCAGATTAATTAAATCTAAATTATCTATTTATAATTCTCATAATTTAACTATATGTAACAATCATTTTAGCTTATAAACTTGTGTTTGTTTGTGCAGATTAATTATATTTAAAAATAAAATTATAAAAAAACTAATTTTTTTTCAAATACTAATATATAAAAAAAAAAATATCAACCACGACCTCAAACACTCTAAGTTTTACTTTCTTTTGACCATGCGCTTCATCATCAAAAGAAAGCACAAACTAGCACCGTTAAATTTCACCCAATTTATCAGCAAATAGCTCAAAGCTCTACTATGAGGTTCAAACAAAGATTTTCCTACAAAATGCTTTTTTCCCGAACGGGATACTTCAAAATATCTGCATAAAAAGATTTCAAAGCACGGACTAAGATCCCAATTAAGAAACATGACTTTATTTCTTAAATTTCATTTTCTACATATATTTCACACACACACACAGAAAGATGGTGATATCATGATCATTTGGTGGTGTTATCTTTGCCACGACCGCCCATGATGGCATCCTTTGCAGACTTGAAGGTGTTAGTCACTGCGGCAGCTGCACTAGACAAAATTCCACCTCCACTGCCAGAATCCCTCGTGTTGCGCTTAAGATGAACCACCCCCACTTTCTCATCGGTGGGTTCGCCTTGCCCGGCTGATGTCCGGTGATCGACAGTCTCCACCCTGGTTTCAGCTTCACCTTCTTCGTTTATCCTTTCAGTCCCCTGCTAAATACAATGAAATTAACAATATCATATAAGCCAAATAAACCATTCGATAATTCAAGTTAGATCTTGGAAAATGGACTCGTTTGGTACCTGTGTCTTCATGTTGTGGGCGTTTCAGATATGCTTTTTCCGTTACAGGGTTTCAGATATGTTTGAAGCAACTATATATAATCTTATCCTGCTTTTGCTCCTTCCAGATTTTTATGATCCCGTCAGCATATATAAATAATAATACCCTCCGTTTCACCTAACAGCATGAGGTATGGACACGTGTTCCAAGCGTTGGCTCACACTGCTTCTTCATGGTCGAAAAAGGGGGACACGCGGCTTATTGTAGTTTCCTGGCAAACCAGTCGGTAAGGGCCGGCTCAAAAACAAAATTTGAATTTTTTTGATATATTTTTAAGTAAAAACAATTGTTTGTTAATGTAGAGTATAGCTTATCAAAGAAAAAATAATTTAGTCAGTAAATAATTTATATTTTTTTATAGTATCTTGTATATACTTGTATTTTAAATTTTTTATTTTATGAAAGATAGAATAACATCTTTTTTATTTACAAAGATCTATTTTTTTTATTTATCTTGCATACAAAAATTTATCTCACAAAAATTTTAACCTAAAACAATTTTTTATGACTACTATTTTAAAATCGCAACTAAAATAAATTTTTTATTTTTTTTTAAATCATAACCTAAAAACTATCCTAATCCCCTTCCTTAACAAACCATTTCTATAATTAGTCCCCCTTCTAGTTAAAATTCACCCATGTATCCCACCATTCATTGATTAGGGTTCATAATTTAAGCCAGCAGTTGGGTAACATCAAAATATATCTGGGACTTAAATGAAAGGATCGTTTGTTAGAGGACTTATTCCATAGGTTGTTAATAGTTGCGCGACAAGTTCTTGGTCGGAATTTTCGTTTTCTTCTTGTCTCTCGGATAAAAATTTGCAACGTCGATTTCATTTAAAAGCTAAATTCATAATCCATCCATAGAATCACGAAGCAATATTAATATTATACCTCACTCTAATATGGCAATATATAATTTTATTATATATATCTCTTAATTAACAAAAAAAAAAATAGTAAACGTTTTAATTTATAATATACTTGAATACTAATTCCTCAGAACAGGTTAATCTCATTTTTCAATTGTATGGTTACTTAAACACTGTTATAAAATATGAATAATGTATAATAAACTTTTTAAATCATTCCAAATCAATGTAGTATCTTGATGGCATTTTATTTTTAAAAAAAAAACTTGAAACATAAACATTAAAATACATTTCAAGAATGATGGAATTGTGCGCACTACAATTTAAGAAACACAAATTCTTCAATTGCTGGTATTTCCCCGATTCTCTTTAGCGCTTCTTTGCTAGGTTCCTCATCCACACCAATAGTCATCACTGCCTGTTTTCGTGGAGCGATCCTGCCAACACTCATGAAACTTACATTTACATTCTCCTCGCCAAGGATATTCCCCACACTGCCAATCATACCTGGTTGATCAACCTGCCTGCAAAGTATGAGGCTGCCTTCCAAGCTCACATCAACACCAAATGAGCCTACCTTGGTGAGGTGGGGCTTCCCGTCTTTCACTCTTCCCTCGACTTTAATCTCACCAGAGTCAGAAATTGCAGTGGCAAATTTAGATTCCACATTGGCAATTTGAATCTGGATGAACTCAAGTGGATTCTCAGGTGAACCATCCAACAGAAATCGCTCTTCTGTTATCCTCAGTCCTCTCTGCTTAGCTGTGAAGTCAGCATTTACCAAGTTAATAAAAACACTGGTGATAGGCTCAATCAGACCCTTGGTAATCATTGCACGAAGAAGCCGAGTGTCGAGATCATCTGGACCTCTGGCAGAAGCATAAGTCACCTTTACTGATTGTACACCACTTCCACCGGCAACCAGTTGCACTGCCAGTCTGCCAAGCTTTTCTGACAGAGTGACAAACGGTGCAAGTTCTGCAAGAACCTGTAATGAACAAAAATAATCAGAGGAGAAAAACATCAGACTCTCCGCCTTACACTAGGTAAATAAACATGAGCAAAGGGAACAAGTCCTCTGCACCATGATCAAAAGCAGAGAGGTCACAGTCCTTCAATTAATAATATACCAAGTAAATAAACATGAGCAAAGGGAACAAGTCCTCTGCACCATGATCAAAAGCAGAGAGGTCACAATCCTTCAACTAATAATATCATATCCATAAACATCACATAAAAATGGTGGAAAGCTAAGACTTGAGGTATTTCCACTTTGATTCATCAAAGGCATGCATACATTATCCGTAGTGAAATGTTGGTGAGGGATTAAAGGTTTGAAAGAAATGATAACCTCAGCAGGAACCATTGGCGCGTTTACCGCAGTTGCAGCAAGTTCCCCTTTTAAAGCTCCAATAACAGCTTCCGCTACTTCAATGGCTACACCTTCCTGGTTAAATCTCATAACCATTATGCAAGATGATGAAAATGAGATGCAAACCAGAAGCCTAAATAGATGGTCATGCATACTTGAGCTTCTGTAGTGCTAGCACCAAGATGAGGAGTCACTGTCACGTTTTCATGCAGCACCAACCTGCTGTCTTTTGGAGGGGGCTCTTTTGTAAAGACATCAAGTGCTGCCTGCACGAATGAGGACTTGGTGAAGAAAACACGAATAATGCAATGAGGACTTGGTGAAGAAAACAACCTGAGAAACAATCCCAGAATCCAGAGCTCTAACTAGAGCTTCCTCGTCGATCACTCCTCCACGAGCAACATTAACAATTCTAACTCCTTTCTTCATCCGGGAGAAAGCCTGATCGTTGAAGATTTTTGATGTAGCAGGGGTAAGAGGCATGTGTAGGGAGATGAAATCTGCTATCAATATAGCTTCTTCGAAAGTCAACAAATCCACACCTATAGCGCGGGCACGGTCTGCAGGGGCATAAGGATCATGTGCAATCACATGCATGCCAAGACCTTTGGCACGCCGAGCAACCTCTGAACCAACCTTTCCAAACCCTATGACAGCAAGCGTCTTCCCCAAGAGTGAAACCCCAACATATTTGCTTCTCTGCCACTTGCCTGGATAGATACAATAAATTAACTAGTTATTTTATTAACATGATTAATGTTCATGCAAAATGAGTCATTACCATAGAATTTGAAAAATTGGTTGATACAGAGAAATGCTAAGCTATTGTTTGGAAATTACTCAGCTATTGATGAAGGATATGGCCAAAACAGAACCAATTTGCTAAATCTCAACAATTTTGATCACATCAGAAAAGCCAATCCTCTGGAAAAAAAAATTATCAAATCACATCATCCTCCAAATTTTCACTAACCATGCAGTAAGGTTTAAATAAGCAAATCCACTTTAATCATTATAACAGAAACAAATTGAACAAAGAATTGAGAGAACATACCAAAGAACAAAATTCAACCTACAATGGTAAACCAAGCCACCTGCTCGAATAAATGACTAAATGAAGTATGAAAAAATCATAATCATAATAAAATAAAAATATTAATTTACAAACCAGCTTTAATAGAGGCATCAGCTTGAGCAATATTCCTGGCCATAGCAGTAAGCAAAGCAATCCCATGCTCAGCAGCCGCAATCGTATTAGCCGTCGGCGCGTTAACCACCAAACACCCATGTTCCGTGGCAGCCGACAAGTCAACATTATCAATACCAACGCCAGCCCGACCCACAACCTTAAGTCTGCCGCCTGAACGTTCAAAAACCTCGCGGGTGACCTTAGTCCCACTTCTCACAATCAACGCATCACAAAGTGAAATCTTAGTACATAACTCCTCAGGGCTCAGGTTGTAAGAGCAGTCAACATTCGCAAATGTCTTTAGTAGCTCGAGACCAGCTTTTCCGAGCTTTTCGGCGACGAGAACTGTGGGCTTGGGGTCAGCCAATAAAGTGGCAAAGACAACGAATCTATATGCTTTTCTATTTTGGCGGTGGGTACAGTTGGCTGTTGTGAAAGGTGAGGGAAAAGAGTGTTTCCACGAGAGAGGTGTCGGTTTTGTGGGAGTAAACACCAAGTTTAAAGAAGATGTAGTCACCATTTGCCTCGGCCTGCTGTCTGTGTAGGAGTCGTGAAATCAAATGAGTGTTGGATTCACGTTGACTGCACAGTAGTAGCAGAAGTGTTTGTGAAGTGGAGGAGAATCGAGTGTGAGTTTGATGGATGGGTATATGCAATAGCGGCTATTGATTGGCTAGTGTCTTTGAAGCTGACAAGTGAGCAAAAATAGAAGATTGGATTGGTAGGCAACCACGACCCCCTATTTGTGTATTTGATTAGGTTGTGCCCTATAAAAGTAGATTGAAATCCATGAATCTTGTTGTGATTCGTTTGATTTACTGTTTTTAAACAGATTAAATGTTCCTTTAAGCTCGGAAATAACTTTATAGAAATTTTTAGAATATTTTTAAATTAAAATAAGTTAAAATAGAGATTTTCGGAGTTTAAAAACTCCAAACACAACTTTAAAAGTTATATGACTGGACATTTCTTACATTTTGTGCTTGATAATATTCAACTTTTTCGAAATTTTTAATCATTGGATGTTCTCAAAATGTTAAGGATGTTTTCAGAATCTATCTTATTTCTTAACATTTTGAAAACTTTGTTTTGTTCAAAGAATATTAATTTTATATTCTTGAACATTTCCAGAATTGTGATTTTTTAGAAAAAGAATTAATATTTTTATTTCTTGAATTGTTTTTTATATATATTCTCGTCGTTGAAAAAAAATTCAAATAACATTTGAAATTTGATAGTTTTTTTCACAAGGTTTTACGTACCAAATAGATATAAACACAAGGGATCCAATAAAATTAAATTGGTTGAAAAATAAAATAAAATGAATTAGAGCTATTTCTTAATAAAGTAGCGCTTGGTTGAGAAGCAAGACGAATAGGACGAGACTTTAGAGACAAGATGACACGAGATGGTGCGTGAGGGGCATGAATGCTTTGCGTTTGGTTTGGTCGACATGATAGAAGTTCTTGTCTCTGCCTCCACTTGATTCTATAGGATAAGGCGGAATAATTTGCAATAAGATAATATCTAGTTTACCGTTATACAGAGTTTGGTGCATGCTATGCTTAGGATACAAATTTGAAAATCTTTTCTCAGTTTTCACTGCATTATACATATTTTATGTGTTTTTTATTTGTTCTAACATATTTTTCAATTTTCCTTAAAAAAAAAAGTTATTGGGCTTTAAGAGTACCTTGCTCAAGTCCAAGCCCAACTATAATAATATTTATATTAAAGAAAAAAACATATGGATAATGGATACATGTCATCTATTTGTTATTATTTTTACATAATTAAGTGTGTTCAATATCGTGTAAAAAATATTTCAAAATCTAATTTAGAAGTTGATTCAGGAACGGATAAGGTATAGTATCGTGTAAAAAATATTTCAAAATCTGATTTAGAAGTTGATTCAGGAACGGATAAGCTAAGGCTAAAACTAAATGGAAATTAAAAAAATAAAAAAGTTAAAAAATCACTTGATTTACTGAATAGTCCGGTTGTAATCTATTTATTATTTATTTATTATTTATTTAAAATAATATTATTTTAATTTATAAAAAAAATTACGACGTACCCAGATAACTTAAACAAAACCTATATTTAAAAACCATGATTTTACTATTTTCACACACACTAACACTATTTTTCAATGGCTAGAAGCAATGCTGGACTTTTTAAAGGGTAGAGCTCTATCCAAGCACAAGACCAGCACGGCATGGGGAAACAAAAGAGAGTTCTCGTTAGGAGTCACCGCCCTGGATTATATATACCTCCACTGCCATCCGACAAATTAAATAATAAATCGGAACATGAAAGTAAGAACCTGTCCCATTGTAAGTGAAACATATGTGTTTAAATTGCATCTAAGAGCTATTTTTAAAATGAGTTTGAGTTTTCAGTTACAAATACCAAGATTATCTAAAATTATTATTATACTGTGTTTGAGATATATTTGGGCTAAAAGGTATATTTGGGCTTAAAGGTTGACTGAAACGGGCTTTGTATATATGCTGAAAGGTTGAAAGTATCTTAGAGTTAGAAAAGAAATGGTATTTGAGCATCGAATCTAAAAAAATAAATCTAGCAGTTTTTTTTTCTGTTTTAATTTTATTTAATTGCTGTTGGTAATGAAGCGTTCAGGTGGAACAGCTAACTAGTGTTGCGCTCTTAATTCATTTGAGAGTCCGATCTTCTTCTTCTGGCTTCTTTTTCATGTTAATTAAAGCGCTGGGTGTCACGAGTCACGACCACGGTTTTTCTATCATTAGATCATCCCTTCATATAAATATTAATGCTATTTGACAGAATTAATAGTATAATTAATTGGAATTTGAAAAGAAAATCGATGTGAGAGAAACCATACAGATAATTTATCAAACATCCCATCCTTGATTTGATTCGCCTGACAAGTGAGACTAAATTATTCATATATTTGGGCTTATGCGTTCATGAAAGGGTAAGCTAAAACATACGATGTTTTTGCACTTTCAAAAACTTTCAATGAACTGCTTTTTTAAGAGTAAAATGGTTTTTTCCTTTAGTTTGTTTGTCATTATTCTCTTGCATAATAAAATGAATTTGCTAACCTTAAAAGCCAATAATCATTTCTCAAGCCTTTTTGGACATTTATGTCTTTTGCTGCAATATAATTATTTTATTACTCCTGGATTCAATTTTTCAAAAGCATGACTTAAGGGGTTAATTTATAATTTTAAAATGATTTTTTTGTAATAATGTTTGGCTTGTAAGGGTTGATTCGTGTTTTCAAAATTAAAAATATAAAATGTTATATATACAGTAGTGAAATTGATTTTTATGGTCAAAAATATTATTACACCATATTATTTAATTTATCTTATCTTTTTCTCTTTTTCTATGTGAGTATATAGTCATTGGACTTTCGATGCATCGCAATCTTTTTTTTTTTTATTAGAAATTCATCTTGGCCTTCTATATTTTCATTTAAGCCATTCAAGTTTTTTTTTTTAATTTATCCCTTGTTTTCTTTTTATTTATTTTATTTATTGAAACATCTTTTTTTTTATTAGAAATTCATTTTGGCCCTCTATATTTTTATTTAAGCCATTCAAGTCTTTTTTTTTTAATTTATCCCTCGTTTTCTTTTTATTTATTTTATTTATTGAGTTTTGTTTCGTTTTTAATTGCATCGTCTTTTAAATTTTATATTTATCAGATTTAAACCTTATTCTTTTGATTTTTTGAATATAGTTTTCTAACATGTTTTTTTTTTTAATTTCACCCCTTCATTTTTTTTCTCTTTTCATCAAAGTTGATGCTCATTTTATTTTATTTTTGCTTTGGTTAGTTTTTTGTTTTGAATTTTTTTTAATTTTATTATTTAACATTAAATTAGTTGATAATTAAAATTCTTAATTGGATTCAATTTTTCAATATCACGGATTGTGAATTTAAAAATATTAATTCAGGTTTAGAATATCCATCTAGATAAATTAGTATGATTGGAAACAATACTACTAATTGGAAACAATAAATTTAATTTTTTTTTCTATAATTAATTGATTAAGGTTACTGTTGTTTTTATTTTTTTTGGAAAGTTAGGTCTCTATAATAATTATAAATGCAAAACAACATCTAGCTTGGATTTAATTGAAAATTTGCACTAAATAAAAAGTTACATCAAGAAATTTCAAGATTTAATTACTTTTCTAGATTTAATAATATTATTAAAAATATCTCCCACTCTTAATGTTAAATATACTAGTTTGAGATATATTTGAGCTAAAGTATTTTCGGACTTTGAATCCCGTCGCTTGTTAGTTGCTTTTAAAATTGATATTGAAATGCTAAGCCTGAGGGAAAGGATCAGGAGTGTCTCATTTTACCTTGGGACAAGTTAGGTCATGGCCTCTTGGAAAAATAGGGGAAATCATCAACTTAGTCTCTCCTAGCATTAGAATTCGACTAACACCATTTCCCTCCTCTATGTAGTTTTGGGATGTCCCAACATTAAAAGCCCATGCTACTGACAACGAATAATTAGCTAGCTACGTCCTCAAATGTCACGAATCTCCTGTTTTTTGCACTCTACAGCATCCAAATCAAAGTATTGAATATGAATATTTCTTCAACTGCAGCAGAGGACAAAGATTTGGAGGAGGAGATACATGTAGGTTCATGTTCAAAATGGACAAAAATTCATCTTGGTTTAACTGGTCTTATGCGGCCCATTAAGTTTTGTCTTTGTGGGCTAGAACTTTAACTTGGGGATAAGATTGGGCGGGCTCACCTAGGTTTAAAATATATTATCAAAGACAAAATAGAAAGAGGTCATTGAAATGAGTCCAAACTCGAACGCATAATTCCTGTTTATTCAATTTAACAATCAAATCCCTTCTGGTGTTAGTAAGTAAATGGACAGACTCGGAAAACTTGAGGTTTGCAGTACGTTTTATTTCTCGAGTCAATCTTGGAGTCATTTCTGCTGCTAAACAAAGACAACGGAACCCTATCAGAGTAAGAAACTGAACGTGTTAAAAAATTGAGGCCACATTTGGACGGACATCCCAGCAACCACAAGCATGCCTCGCCTTCCTGTGGATGGTTTTATCTCTAGCGGGTCCACCTATCAAATTATTGGCCGCTCTTTGACCCCTAATGTCCGTAGCATCAGGGCAGCAAGTGGCTCCAGTCCAAGCCCTCTTGACTTGATTCAAAATTGTCTAGTTTCTAAAGCCGAGACGCAACATAATTCTAGAAGATGTATAGCTGCGAAACTGCATATTTGGTGGGCACCCAGAAGACTTTTGTTGATTTCAGTAGATCATTCGCTTGATTGAACTATTGAATTATAGCTAAATATTTGATTAATAAAATCCAGGATGAACACAAGGTTAGTTGTAATCCACTTGATTGAACTATTGAATTATAGCTAAATATTTGATTAATAAAACCCAGGATGAACACAAGGTTAGTTGCAATCCACTTGATTGATCACTGTATTGACCACGTGGACAAAGATGCTCCCCCAAGAAGTCACAAAACTAGCAAATAATTTCCAATACCAGCGATTACAAGCGGAGTCAAATGACGTCTAGCATCAACAAGTTGGATGATTTCAAAGGACGACCCGAAATGAATCCATCTTTACTATTTTTCTCCTCATAATTTTCAGAGTTTATTTTGAGAAATCAATTCCTAAAAAATTGGACCCTCACCTCTTCTAATTGGATTAGAACTTGAAGCACGATAACCAGGAGTTATCGCTCTTAATCATTTTCGACCTTTCCTTTGTCCTTGTATTTCGTTTTTTCTCAAGTGGTCATTCGGAGAAATGATG